AAAAAAAAAAAAAAAAAAAAAAGAAGCATTATTGGGGGACCCTCAGCAGGCTAAGCCCCATCTTCCTCTGGCCTCAGTGCTGGAGAGGAGGCCCCACAAGGAAGGTGGGCAGGAGGTGGTCTTGGCTACTCCCGAAGCGTCAGGTACGTCCTCCAGGAGACCGAGAGGCTGGGGAGAACCGTGGGTGTGGGGCTTGGCTTTTGGCTGGTTCCTAACTCTACCTCTTTTGATTTTAGGTCACAGCAGTTGGATGCTGTCCCCAAGTCCTCTATTCCACATTCTCTTCCCGCCCCCCCATAGCCCATGTAGATTGTGGAGGAGGCAGATGCAGAGAGAGCCCCGGGGGAGGTGCCCTGCAGTCCAGAACCCCTGGCACACCCCGACTGAAATCCTCCAGCCCTGGGTCTCCCCAGTGTCTGGAGACTTTCACTTGTCCCAAGTCTCTCCCACTCCTGCAAGCCAGGGAGACCCCTGCCTCAAGCATCATGACCTCGCCGTGAGCCCAGGGAGCCTGTGTGAACCCACTGCCTGCACTAACCCCCTTTCTTCTCCTTTCAGCGGTCGGATTCATTATAAGGATATGTACAGTTTATTGCGAGTAATATCTCCCCCTCTCGGCTTAGGCAAGAAATGTCCTCATAGGGTTGCTTGCAAGGTTTGACTTCCACTAAAACCTGCTAGCATCCATGGAATGAGTGTGGCTTGGGGTTCTTCAATATATATATTTCATATATATATATATATATATATATCTAAAAAACAGAGCCATCTCTCTCTCTTGCATTAAACTAGAAAACTCTCTTAGCCAACAGAATGCAGTCATGTAGACCGATGAAGCATGGAACATACTTCTTCCTTCCCTTCAGCCTTCAGCCATCTTTGCTTGCTCTTAGCTGAAGCTGCCCATCCTGGGGTCTCCACGGCACCCCAAATCAGACACATCCCCTGGGGGATTGTAACTTTGCATTTCTCCCCCCCACCATCACCTCCACACTCTCCCCTTCCACCCCTCACCTCCCAAAGCCCCAGCCCACCTCCCCACCCCAGCCCCAGCCCCTCCTCCCCACCTAGGCCCCCTCAGAGACCAGCCTCAGCCAAACCAGAGAACGTGACCCAACTTTAGAAATGGCAATGATGGCTGGGTGCAGTGGCTCACGCCTATAATCCCAGCACTTTGGGAGGCCAAGGCAGGAGGATTACTTGAGCCAAGGAGTTCAAGACCAGCCTGGGCAACATGGCAAGAACTCCCTTCTCTATAAAAAAAAAATTAGTTGGGCATGATTGCAAGTGCCCGTAGTCCCAGCTACTCCAGAGGCTAAGGGAGAAGGATCGCTTGAGCCCAGGAAGTGGAGGCTGCAGTGAGCTATGATCACACCACTGCACTCCAACCTAGGCAACAGAGGGAAACCCTGTCTCTTTAAAAAAAAAAAAAAAAAAAAAAAAAAAAAATTGAACAAAAGCATGGCTGTATGTCTTCCAAAGTGAGAATCCCCCTTCCTTCCACATCCCTCCAGAACTGTAGCTCAGAGCCCAAGCTGAATCTGACTTTTCTCTTTTCTCTCTCTCCCTGCTCCCGAGCAGTGAAGTAATCTTTTTTTTAATGACCTTTTCTTCCATTTTTTTCTCCTCTTTTCCATTGATTTGAAATATCTATTTTGTCATTCTCTGCATCTTTCTCTCTCTATTTTTTCGGCTCGTGTGGATTTCTTTTTTCTTTCTTCTGTTCCTCCCCACCCCTCTTCCTTTGGTTCTCTGTTCCCATTCCCGTTTCGTTTTTTGTGTTTTCGGTGCTGCCAGGGGCCGCATGCCTTACCTGGACATGTATCAGATGCTGAGACACATGTCTCCGCCCCTGGGTCTGGGGAAGAAGTGCCCGGCCAGAGTGGCTTACAAGGTAGACTACCCTTGCCGACCACCGATGTCCAGGCGCTGGGTTTTTTTTTGTTTTTTTCCTTTTTTATTTTTTTTAGTGCTGACCAGAAACACCCAGCCGACTCTCTTTTTCCAGCGTTTCTCTTCTTGTTTTTGATTCTTTTTTTTCTTTTCTCGAGTGAACTGATCATGACCATCCCTCGATTCCAAGCAGCACACTGTGTCCGTCCTTTCTGATGAGTGTCTTCGTGTTCTGAGACTCCATTATGGCCGACACGCCGGGGGGAGGGGGAGGGGAGCGCCCAGGTCCCCTTGCACCTGGTCTCCCAGGTACCAAATTGGAAACAAACACGCTTCTCCAGGGAGTCAAAACCCACGCCTCCCACTTCTGCCCCCCATGCCCAGGCCGGGACAGGCGCCTTGCAGAGAGGGGCTTAAGCCCCCGAGAGCAGGCAAGGTCCCGGGCCCATCTTTTGTGCCTCGAGCCCCCAGCTCCCCACCCCGCGCACACCTGAAGCTGATCTCTGACCTAGGGCCTTGGGGGATTGGAGACCTTCCAAGGAGCACCAAGAACCTCTCTTCCCCTCTCTTCCCTCCCATGGAGTTTCGTCCCCAGCCCCTGTCCCTAATCTGCCCAAGACACCCCAACATGCCTCTCCATTGTTCCAGAGTGGGCAGGCGGCCGCAGCTGGACCCCTGGACGGTGGCACACTGATGCAGGCCATGCACGCTGCCTTGGCGGGGCCTGGGGCGGGCAGGCACCATGGCCGACGGGGGGTGGTGCATGCTGGCTGAGAACACGAGTGTCCTGCCGCCAAGCGGCTGGGCCAGGCCACCCCTCTAGATCCCTGTCCTGGAATCTTCCTTGGCGCCCGAGGACAGATGCTCTGTTTCCTCCACTCATCCACGAGAAGTTCTGGGATGACCTTTAAAGATTCTCCCCACCCAAAAAATACTACCCTGTCAACCTGTTCTCCCGTCAGCCTTGATCTTCTCTGCATCCCCATCCATCAGTGCTATCTGTACCCGCCCCGTGTCGCCACCTCCCCACAAGCTCCTCTCTTTCCTTCCTCTGTGCACCACTCCTCACCTAACCTATATGTCTCCCCTCACTTCTCAGTCAAAGCCGGGGACAAGGTTGGCCCACCAGCGTCTCAGACAAGGAGCCTCTCCCCGCACCAGTCGCTCCCCTCCCGTTTTCCTCAAGTCACTTCTCAGTGTCTGCGTAGTTGGATGTGTGTGCGCATGCAAGAGAGGGAGGAAGAGCCCTTCCCCTCCCCGTCTTGGTGCAGGCCCACCATGGGTCCGTCAGACAGCTCGGTGCAAATTTGAAAAAGGCACCCTTTCTACAAAACGTGTCCATCGGAAAATTGTTGCAGTCTGCCAATGTGGCGAGAACAAGACACTTGTCTGCTCTTAACTGGGAAGCTGTTGTATTTAATGCACAAATTGGAGGCCAAGCATCGTGGCTCATGCCTGTAATCCTAGTGTTTTTGGGAGGCTGAGATGGGAGGATCACTTGAGCCCAGTTCGAGACTAGCCTGGCCAACATAGCAAGACCCCATCTCTACGAAAGCAAAAAATATTTTAATAAATAAGTACATCTATGTATCATTTCCAAGATGGGAGCACTTTGTGCAGTGCACAGCCTGCACAACTGTGCACAGAGGCTCAGTCTGTGTTTCTCTGTTTCCCAGCTCCTTCCCCACCTTGCCCCAGTGTCTCCTCTAGTGTCCTGCTCTGAGCTTACCATTCCTCTCCCCATCTCTAGCTCTGTGTTTCCTGCCCATGTGTGTCGGAATCCCCACCCAACTCGACCTCACCCCCCTTCTCTGTGCCACCCCAGCCTGGGCTGGTGCACACCAGCCCAGCATCCTCTCCCATGCCACCCAGCACGGTGGACAGAACCCCTGCCTGGGACATGGGGAATCTTTTCTTCCCTGGGCCACAGGAATGCCCCTCATCCCTTCCCCCTGCCATTGCACAGAGAGCCAAGATCTGGACAAGTCCCTGAGATACACTTCCCACGGAGCTATGAATGAGTCTCGAGATTCCGTCTGCATGCGCCCCGTCTGTGCTGTTCTGTGTCACAGCCTCGCTGCATGCCTGCGAGGGGCCTGCCCCGTCAGTGGGGGGCTGCCTGCCTGCCGCTTCTCAGAGGAATGATGTGGTCTCTGCCCATCTGGTCTGTCCTGGTCTGGCCAAGCCGGGAGGTGGGGGTGGGGAGCCGGCGGCGCCCCCACCCTCGGCTGTGGCCCTGGCCCCCTCAGCCTTGGCTGTTGCACGTGCTGCTCAAATCCAGCTTGTGCTCTTTTTCTTTGGGATCAGACTGAAACGGGGCCATCCAGAAGAACTCTGGGGCGGAACGAGGCAGGGAAGGATTGAGGCCAGCTCTGGAAATACCAGCTCTCAGGTCAAGCACATAGGGGGAGAAAGGGGAGGGCAGGGGAACAGAAGTGTAGGAGAGCCCTCGTCCCCTCCCTACAGCCCACCAAGAGAAACTGGGTACTAGGACAGGTAACCTACGTAGGGAACGCCTCGGCCGCTGCCCGCCTTCAGAGTTCTTCCTGGGACTCCCTGGGTAGGGGTGGGCGTGGCTCACGGGAGACCCAGGAGGGATGCCCAGGAATGACTGCCCTCACCTTGGGTTTTCTGTAGAGGCTTCTGCGGATGGACCTGCCCGTGGCAGACGACAACACCGTCCACTTCAATTCCACCCTCATGGCTCTGATCCGCACAGCCCTGGACATCAAGATCGCCAAGGGTAAGGAAGGGAGGGGCGGGTGCCAAAAGGTGGACAGGGTGGAGCCGGGGGTCCCCCTCCCTGCCACAAACTAGAGGAGCTGCTGACACCGTCCTCTTCATTCACTCTTCCCCTCATTCGTTCTACAGGGTTTTTGGTTTTGGGGGCTTTTTTTTGAGACAGAGTCTTGGGCAGTGCAGTGTCATGATCACAATTCACCGCAGCCTTGACCTCCCAGGCTCAAGCAATCCTTCCACCTCAGCCTCCCCAGTAGCTGGGACTATAGGCACTCACCACCACACTCCCCTAATTTTTTTTTTTTTTTTTTTTTTTGGTGACAGAGTTTCCCTCTGTCACCCACACTGGAGTGCAGTGGCACGATCTCAGCTCATTGTAACCTCCACCTCCCAATTCTCCTGCCTCAGCTTCCCGATAGTGGAGATTACAGGCATATACCATAACGCCTGGCTAATTTTTTATATTTTGGGTAGAGATGGGGTTTCACCATGTCGGCCAGGCTGGTCTTGAACTCTTGACCTCAAAAGATCCACCCACCTCAGCCTCCCAAAGTGCTGGGATTACAGGCGTGAGCCACTGGGCCCAGCCTAATTTTATTTTATTATTTTTTTTTTTTTGAGATGGAGCCTCGCTCTGCAGCCTCCACCTCCCAGGTCTGGGCTCAAGCGATTCTCCTACCTCAGCCTCCCAAGTAGCTGGGATTACAGGCATGAGCTACCATGCCCAGCTAATTTTTGTATTTTTTAGTAGAGACGGGGTTTCACCATGTTGGCCAGTCTGGTCTTGAACTCCTCTAACCGCGTGATCCGCCTGCCTCGGCCTCCCAAAGTGCTGGGATTACAGGCATGAGCGACCACAACTGGCCTACTTTATTTTTTTAATAGAGGTGGGGTTTCTTCAGGTTGCCCAGGCTGGTCTCAAACTCCTGGGTTCAAATAGTCCTCCTGCCTCGGCCTCCCAAAGTGCTGGTTTTACAGGCATGAGCCACCACAGCAGGCCCATTTGGCAGATACTTAGTGCAACCCCTCAACTTACCAGGTACCCGTCTAAGCATGCAGAACCCAGCAGCTTACACTTTAGGTGGACGGGGAGGCCCCCACTGAGGAAGTGGGGCAGTGAGTCTCGTGGATCCCTGGCGGGAAGGTGCTCCAGGCAGAAGGACTGGCAGAGGCCCTGATGCGGGGGTGGGGGTGAACACGGGACACCCAGGGCATTGAGCTGACTCACGCTCTGAGTGAGAGTGTGCCACGCAGGTTCAGAGCAGAAGAGGAACCTGACCCAACTCACATTTGAACAGGTTCCCTCTGGCCACAGTGGGGATGAGAGACCAGGAGGAGGCCAGGGTGGGGCTTGCTGATACCATCCCGGTGGAGACAGGGTGGCAGCTTAGATGTAGTGACTCAGCCGAGCACGGTGGCTCACGCCTGTAATCTCAGCACTTTGGGAGGCCGAGGTGGGTGGATCACTTGAGGTCAGGATCACCAGCCTGGCCAACATGGTGAAACCCCATCTCTACTAAAAATATACAATTTAGCTAGACATGGTGGTATGTGCCTGTAGTCCCAGCTACTCGGGAGGCTGAGGCAGGAGAATCACTTGAACCTGGGAAGTGAAGGTTACAGTGAGCCGAGATCGCACCATTACACTCCAGCCTGGGTGTCGCAGTGAGACTCCCTCTCAAAAAAGGAAAAAAAAGATCTAGGGGGTGGGGTGTAGAGCATTCAGACACTGGATAGCACCTGAGGGTCAGCCAGCAGGATGAGCGACAGTGGAATGAGGGGTGGTGGGGAAAGAGACACATGAAAGACACCCCCAGTGTCGGGCCTGAGCTCTGGAAGAACAGAGCAGCCAGATCCTGAGTCAGGGGAGAGGTGGGAGGGGCAGGTTGGGCATGAAGGGCAGGCATGGCTGTTGCCTGTGGCACATGGAGATGGGGAGCAGCCAGGGGCTCCAGGCCGGGCTGGGGCCGTAAAGCAATCAGGCATCAGATGCTGACAGAGTAAGCCAGGAGACTATATGAGCTCAGAGTAAATGGAGAGATCTGTGGCCAGGCATGGGGGCCCAGGTGAGAGGCTCGCTTGAGGCCGGGAGTTGGAGGCCACAGTGAGCTCTGATAGTGGACACATAGTGAGACTCCATCTCTACAAAAAATTTAAAAGTTGGCTGGGCGCAGTGGCTCACGCCTGTAATCCCAGCACTTTGGGAGGCTGAGGCAGGAGGATCACTTGAGGTCAGTTCAAGATCACAGAGCGACCCGTCTCTGCAGAAAATTTTAAAATTAGCCAGGTGTGGTGATGTGTACCTGCGCTCCCAGCTACTTGGAGGGCTGGAGTGGGAGGATCACTGAGGACCGTGAGGTCAAGGCTATATGGTGACCGCAGATGTAGCAGCTTAAGACACACCCATTTCTCAGTTCACAGTCCTGTAGGTCAGACGTCCCCAAAGCTAGACTGGGTGCTCTGCTGAGGGTCTCTCGAGGCTGAAATCAAGGTGTCAGCCAAGCTGGGCTCCTCTCTGGAGAATCCGGGGGAGAATCTACTTCCAAGTTCATTCAGGTGTGGGCAGAATTCATGTCCTTATGGCTGGTAGGACTGAGGTCTTGTTTTATCACTGGCTTTTAGCTTTTTGCCCCTGGGGATGCATGTAGTCCTCCGTGTGCTCCCGTTCTCTCTGACTTCCCCATCTGCCACTAGGCAGAAAGAATATTATGCTTTACAAGGGCTCACCTGATTGGGGCAGGCCTACCCTAAAAATCTCTGTATTTTGAGGTATGCTGACTTGATATTTTAATTTTTTTTTTTTTTCTTGAGACAGAGTTTCACTCTTGTTGCCAAGGCTCAAGTACAACGGTGCAATCTCGGCTCACTGCAACCTCCACCTCCCAGGCTCAAGCAAATCTCCTGCCTCAGCCTCCTGAGTAGCTGGGATTACAGGTGGCTGCCACTACGCCCGGCTAGGTTTTTTGTGTGTGTATTTTTAGTAGAGATGGGGTTTCGCTATGTTGGCCAGACTGGTCTCGAACTCCTGACCTCAGGTGATCCACCAGCTTTGGCCTCCCAAAGTCCGGGGATTACAGCCATGAGCCACCTTGCCAGTATTTAATTATATCTGCAAAGTCCCTTCATAGCCTGGGCAGTGGTCCCTAGATTAGTGTTTGACTGAATAACTAGAATCTTGGTGGACGGGCAGCTTTTGAATTCTGCCTGCCACAGTTCCTTCATCTGTAAAATGGGTCTAACAATGCCCCCACTCATATGTAATGCCATGATAACTCAGCTGCTGTGGCACCCTGCAGATCTGTGTTCAGTGATTCCCTAGAAGAAGTCAGAACTGAGAAAAGTTTTTATACTCACAGTTACAGTTTATTACAGTCAAAGAATACAGATTAAAATCTGTAAAGGGCCGGGCACAGTGGCCCGTGCCTATAAACCCAGTACTTTAAGAAGGCCAGGCAGGCGGATCACGTGAGGTCACGAGTTCCAGACCAGCCTGGCCAACATGGTGAAACCTCATCTCTACTAAAAATGCAAAAATTAGTGGGGCGTGGTGGCAGGCTCCTGTAATTCCAGCTACTTGGAAGGCTGAGGTAGGAGAATCTCTTGAACCCAGGAGACGGAGGTTGCAGTGAGCTGAGATTCTGCCACTGTATTCCAGGCTGGACAGAGTGAGACTCTAGCCCAAAAAAAAAAAATCTCCAAAGGGCCAGAAGTGGTGGCTCACGCCTGTAATCTCAGCACTTTGGGAGGGTGAGGTGGGTGGGTCACTTGATGTCACAAGTTCGAGACTAGCCTGGCCAACATGACGAAACCCCATCTCTACTAAAAATACAAAAATTAGCTGGGAGTGGTGGCAGGTATCTGTAATCCCAGCTAACTGGGAGGCTGAGGTAGGAGAATCGATTGAACCCAGGAGGCTGAGGTTGCAGTGAGCTGAGACCATGCCATTGCACTCTAGCCTGGGCGACGAGCAAAACTCCATCTCAAAAA